ATTCACTTAAAGAAAATAAAAACACTTTAAAATGATTTTCTTCTTATAAGTGTAAAAAATATAAAATCAAAGACAAAGAAAATAAACAATAGAAAATATTTTTTTCACCAGGGTTACCTCTACATTTTATTTTATTTTATTTTATTTAGAAATGTATTCATTTTATTTGTAACATATACACAACAAAGAACAAAAAAAACAGGCTATCAAAATAAAATGAAATAAAATGAAGCAGGCAGCAGAAGAAGAATAAATCTTATCTGCCCCCTTTTTTATTCCCAAAATATGTTCAAAATAAATTACAACAAAAATCAAAACAACTGAAAACACACACAAAAATCAAAAAACAAAGCTAAACTTAAAACACCAACTCAAACAACAATTTGCATGAATTCACTTGTGCTTCTCCATATTTCTTCAGAATACTAGATTTTATCATTCTCTTTAATATATACAAAGATCAGGCATTTTTATCCACCCATCTTCCAGACCGTTCCACAATCTTATTCCCTGGATTAAAGTGGATCGCTCCTTCAGGCTCGTATGAATTTTAATCATTTGTCTCCTCACAGATTTTAATCCGAAACCGTGCCACCGATCTCGATGCCCGCATGCATGACGGGACGACCCCGCTGATCCTAGCTGCCCGATTGGCGGTTGATGGCATGGTGGAAGAACTTCTCAACTGCCACGCGGATGCTAATGCCACTGATGATACTGGTAGCTAACATTTCTGGCATTCCCACACATCCTTCTGTATGCCTCATGGTGTTGGGAATAATTAAGATGAACTATTTTAAACTGTGATTCCTGCAGGTAAATCTGCTCTTCACTGGGCTGCGGCTGTGAACAACGTGGAAGCTGCCATGGTGCTGTTGAAAAGTGGAGCCAACAAAGACATGCAGGACAACAAGGTATGAGAAAACTATGTGAGGTTTAAATTGTATCTGGCACGATGATAATGCAATTGCCTATGAACGTGTTGGACTTTATTTATCTATTGCAAAATATCTGATGAACCAGTAGATAAAGTTTAATTCATTGAATGTACACTGGCAACTGATCAATTTTTGGAGTTGACCCAATTCAAGATGGCCACCACAAGTAAGCGACCTTAGCCAACACAAACTTTTACAGAAACTGAGCTACAGTTTGGTATAGTCTTAGCAGAGTCATTTCTAGCACATATTATTAAAGTTTAATGAAACTCTTGGAAAATAACTACTGGAAGTACACCTACAGCTGAATAACTTTTGGAGTCAACCCAATTCAAAATGGCCGCCACAGCTAATCAGCTTTGTCAAACACAAAAAAGGACATGGTGTAGCAGTAGCTGATGGTCATCATCCAATATCTAAGGGTTAAAACATCAGAAATATCTGTATAAAATTTGACATCAGTGTTGTTATGCTACTTCCTTTACTTCATTTTACTAATTGCTTCCTTTTTTTAATCAGGAGGAGACGCCGCTGTTCCTTGCAGCTCGTGAAGGCAGTTACGAGACGGCAAGGGTGCTTCTGGAGCACTTTGCCAATCGCGAAATCACCGACCACCTTGACCAGCTGCCGCGGGACATTGCTCAGGAGCGCATGCACCATGACATCGTCAGGCTTCTGGACGAGTACAACGTGGTCAGGAGTCCTGGGCTTCACAGCGCCCCCTTAAGCACCTCCACCCTCTCTCCTCCTCTCTGCTCCCCCGGTGACTATCTCAGCAACCTCAAGCCTACCCCTTCTGTCAAGAAGCCTCGAAAACAAGGCTCAGTTGGGAAAGGGGGAAAGGACGGGGGCAAGGATAATAGAGTGAAGAAGAAAAAGTCGCTGGATGGGAAGAACAATTTGCTCGACACGTCGGCCGTTCTCTCCCCCGTCGATTCGCTCGAGTCACCTCACGGCTACCTGTCAGACGTAGCTTCTCCTCCAATGGCGTCACCTTTCCAGCAGTCACCTCCTATGTCTTTAAATCACCTACAAGGCAGTGGGGATTCTCATTCTGGGCAAATTAGCATGGGTAAAGATATGGGTTGCATGTCTTTTGACCCTCCACGCCTTTCCCACTTGCCCGTGTCCAGCCCCACCTCTCAGGGCACGGCATCCATAGGCGGCAGCAGAGGAGGTCAGTGGATGGTTCCCGGCCTGAGCCACCAAGGAGGTTTTACCCAAGGACCATCCATAACACACGGCATGCTGGGCGCCTTGCACAGTGTCAGCACTGCCACCTTGTCGCAGATCATGGGCTACCAGAACCTGCAGACCAGCCACCCCGGCTCGTCTGCACACATGATGCAGCAGGCTCACCCCCGGCAGCTCCAGCACCAGAACTCCAGCTCCGCCACGGCCGGTCAAGCCCTCACCCAGGGCTTCCCGAGCATCGAGCTGAGCGGCTCCGACATGCAGCAGAGCGGTGGCTCGGGTCGCTCGATGGCCATCCACACCATCATGCCGCAGGAGACGCAGATGCTCGGCACCCAGTTTCTCACGCCCCCCTCCCAACATAGCTACTCAGGCCCTATGGACAACACGCCTAATCACCAGCTGCAAGTTCCCGACCACCCGTTTCTAACACCCTCCCCTGGTTCACCCGACCAGTGGTCCAGCTCGTCCCCACATTCCAACCTGTCGGACTGGTCAGAGGGCATCTCCAGCCCGCCCACAAGTATCCACTCGCAGATGAATCTAATCCCAGACAAGTTTAAATAAAGGCTTAGTTGGACTCGGAAATCATCAGAAACCCATTTCTGTCAGAAAGAAAGTAGCAAACTTGCTTCCAAACAGAAGATTCTCATTTTTATCATGAGTTTTTGTACTAATAAGAGCAGTTTTAGTAATTTGTATTTATTTATGTACTTTTTTTGACTTGAAAAAAGATTTTATATTTATGCTTTTTGTTTATTTTATTAGTTTTTATGTATGGCGATTTAGAAACTATTGAAAAAGGAGTGAACGACACAAAGAAAGCCTCCTTGACGTGTACACTGGTTATTTATTTGTCTTGCGTTGACGTATTCACTGAATTTGTTTTATTGTCTCGGCACAACAGTTCGAAAGAAAAAAGGGTTTTGTGTTGCTTTATCTTTGTACAGACATCTTTTGTTTTTTTATTTTTTAGAGACTATTTTAAAATTTCAGTATTAATTAAATCTATTTTAATCTCTTTTTGATTTTTTTAAGTGACCTTTTTTGTTACGGAACTACATTTCACTAAGTCTTATCACTGAGTCTGTGTTAGACATTGATTTAATATATTAATATAAAGTGTCACTTTTCCTAATGTTGCTTGTTACATTGTCCTCTGAACAGAACCACAGAACAAAGAAACAGTGTGACTGAAAAGGAACTTTGGAGATTTTGGACCTTCAGGCAAAGAACAACTAATTATTGATCAGGGCTGGTGCTGAGCGAATGATTTGTGATCATTTATGATGCAAGGGCTGTCCCTCTGTTTCATTTTGCTTCGCAAATCTATGATTATGGTTACCATGTTTAACCGGTTAAGTGTTAAATTGCAGACCTGTTGTAGACTGTTGGAAATGTTACATTTGCCACAGTTTAACTCTTTAAAGTGCCAGTGTGAATTCTGTTTTTCTTACGAAAAGCGATGTATGTTTTGAGATTTCTTGAAAAAAAAAAGATGAGGAGAAACATGCTGTATGTACAGGATAAAATGGGGACCTTTGTGTGTTCAGCGACATCTCCTGCACTTTTATAAGGAGTGTAGTTCATGGTGTCTAAATGTCATGTTTTATAAACTAATCCAGAGGTAAAGATGTTTTTAAGAAATAAAAAAGTAATACAGATTTTTCATGCACAGTTGTAGTTTGCAAAGAAATATTTCCTGTTTAAAAATGTTTTGTAAAATTGTCATGATTAAATAAAAACTTGCAGTTAAGCATAGTATTAGTTTTCATTTATTTCTATTTTAAATATTCATTGTGTTCGTATTGAAACAGGAAGTGTTAATGCTTTAATCTTTATAACTTGTTCTGAAACCTGCTGCAATTTGTTCCAACCAAAGCTTTCAAATCAAATGACTGGATTAATAGAGGATGCAATCACTGTTTATGACAGAATATCTGTTAAAATATCTAAAAGCAGTAAATTAGGATACACATTTAAATGCTAATCTCCCTTTAAATTTTATTTTGCCTCATATCTAATGCTGTTTTGTCATCAACTGATAAAGTTGTGTGAAAGCCAGTTAAATCACAAATCTTCCTGCTTTTCTGTAAATACATTATGCAGAAAAGGCTGTATTTTGAAAATAATACTTTAAATACAGTGAATTCATTTATTACGTCACAGTGATTTTGTTAGAGGCTATCAGTTCCTCTGTTGCCTTTCAGTTAGAACTTTAAATCACAAAGATCACCTTTGATAATCGAAACTAACATGAGACTAAACTGAGCCTTTCAAATGTTTATCAAGTTAACAACTAGAGTTTTATTTTAAACTTTGAGCTAGGCCCTGCTGCCAAAAAAATGCATTGACTATTATATCTCAGTAAGTTTTAAAGGTGACACTGAACTGCAGAGAAGTTTGAGCAAGTTGCAATCTGCAAGTTTGTGCATCTTACACAATATTTGAGCTATATTGTGAAATCTGGACAATATTTTCTTGTTCTAAATGAATGAAATTTTCACGTTATTGATGTTATTATCTTTTGACTGCATATTTGGGTCTTGAAGGCTACTTTTGGTTGTGGGTGCTGCACATGCAGATATGATGTATTACCAACTTTGATGGGAAAGGCAGTGGTGCCAAACGCACAGAAGGGAAAAAAAGATTTATAGGTGCTCTTTCTGCTACTTGATTAGGTTGTAAAAACACATTTAGACACTAATAGAAAAAAAACCTGGTACTTGTGAGAAAAATAGTCTCAGGATGTGATGGTGTGACAGATATCTGAAACGAAAAATGTTAATGTTAGAAGTAACTTGCCCTACATTTTCCATATCTCCCTCTCATTTCACACACACACACACACACACACACACACACACACACACACAC